TCCTCTCTTCATCAAGATGCTTCCTCTCTTCTTCAAAGTACTTCCTCTCTTCTCAAAGTACTTCCTCTCTTGATCAAGTGCTTCCTCTCTTCATCAAGATGCTTCCTCTCTTCATCAAGTACTTCCTCTCTTCATCAAGATGCTTCCTCTCTTCATCAAGATGCTTCCTCTCTTCTTCAAAGTACTTCCTCTCTATCAAGTGCTTCCTCTCTTCAAAGTACTTCCTCTCTTCATCAAGATGCTTCCTCTCTTCATCAAGATGCTTCCTCTCTTCTCAAAGTACTTCCTCTCTTCATCAAGATGCTTCCTCTCTTTTCAAAGTACTTCCTCTCTTCATCAAGATGCTTCCTCTCTTCTTCAAGTACTTCCTCTCTTCATCAAGATGCTTCCTCTCTTCTTCAAGTACTTCCTCTCTTCATCAAGATGCTTCCTCTCTTCATCAAGATGCTTCCTCTCTTCATCAAGGTGCTTCCTCTCTTCTTCAAAGTACTTCCTCTCTTGATCAAGATGCTTCCTCTCTTCTTCAAAGTACTTCCTCTCTTCATCAAGTGCTTCCTCTCTTCTTCAAAGTACTTCCTCTCTTCATCAAGATGCTTCCTCTCTTCTCAAAGTACTTCCTCTCTTCTCAAAGTACTTCCTCTCTTCATCAAGTGCTTCCTCTCTTCATCAAGATGCTTCCTCTCTTCAACAAGTACTTCCTCTCTTCTTCAAAGTACTTCCTCTCTTCATCAAGATGCTTCCTCTCTTCTTCAAAGTACTTCCTCTCTTATCAAGTGCTTCCTCTCTTCATCAAAGTACTTCCTCTCTTCATCAAGATGCTTCCTCTCTTCATCAAGTGCTTCTCTCTTCTTCAAAGTACTTCCTCTCTTCATCAAGATGCTTCCTCTCTTCTTCAAAGTACTTCCTCTCTTCATCAAGATGCTTCCTCTCTTCAAGTGCTTCCTCTCTTCATCAAGATGCTTCCTCTCTTCATCAAGATGCTTCCTCTCTTCTTCAAAGTACTTCCTCTCTTCATCAAGATGCTTCCTCTCTTCATCAAGTGCTTCCTCTCTTCTTCAAAGTACTTCCTCTCTTCATCAAGATGCTTCCTCTCTTCATCAAGTGCTTCCTCTCTTCTTCAAAGTACTTCCTCTCTTCATCAAGATGCTTCCTCTCTTCATCAAGTGCTTCCTCTCTTCAACAAAGTACTTCCTCTCTTCATCAAGATGCTTCCTCTCTTCATCAAAGTTTCCTCTCTTCTTCAAAGTACTTCCTCTCTTCATCAAGATGCTTCCTCTCTTCTCAAAGTACTTCCTCTCTTCATCAAGTGCTTCCTCTCTTCATCAAGATGCTTCCTCTCTTCATCAAGTGCTTCCTCTCTTCTTCAAAGTACTTCCTCTCTTCATCAAGATGCTTCCTCTCTTCTCAAAGTACTTCCTCTCTTCATCAAGTGCTTCCTCTCTTCATCAAGTGCTTCCTCTCTTCTTCAAGTACTTTCCTCTCTTCATCAAGATGCTTCCTCTCTTCATCAAGTGCTTCCTCTCTTCTTCAAAGTACTTCCTCTCTTGATCAAGTGCTTCCTCTCTTCTTCAAAGTACTTCCTCTCTTCATCAAGATGCTTCCTCTCTTCTTCAAAGTGCTTCCTCTCTTCTTCAAAGTACTTCCTCTCTTGATCAAGATGCTTCCTCTCTTGATCAAGTGCTTCCTCTCTTCAACAAAGTACTTCCTCTCTTCATCAAGATGCTTCCTCTCTTCAACAAGTGCTTCCTCTCTTCAAAGTACTTCCTCTCTTCATCAAGTGCTTCCTCTCTCTTCAAAGTACTTCCTCTCTTCATCAAGATGCTTCCTCTCTTCATCAAGATGCTTCCTCTCTTCATCAAGTGCTTCCTCTCTTCTTCAAAGTACTTCCTCTCTTCATCAAGATGCTTCCTCTCTTCTTCAAAGTACTTCCTCTCTTCATCAAGATGCTTCCTCTCTTCATCAAGATGCTTCCTCTCTTCATCAAGTGCTTCCTCTCTTCTTCAAAGTACTTCCTCTCTTCATCAAGATGCTTCCTCTCTTCTTCAAAGTACTTCCTCTCTTCATCAAGATGCTTCCTCTCTTCAAAGTACTTCCTCTCTTGATCAAGATGCTTCCTCTCTTCATCAAGTGCTTCCTCTCTTCATCAAGATGCTTCCTCTCTTCATCAAGATGCTTCCTCTCTTCTTCAAAGTACTTCCTCTCTTCATCAAGATGCTTCCTCTCTTCATCAAGTGCTTCCTCTCTTCATCAAAGTACTTCCTCTCTTCATCAATGCTTCCTCTCTTCATCAAGTGCTTCCTCTCTTCTTCAAAGTACTTCCTCTCTTCATCAAGATGCTTCCTCTCTTCATCAAGTGCTTCCTCTCTTCAACAAGTACTTCCTCTCTTCATCAAGATGCTTCCTCTCTTCATCAAAGTGCTTCCTCTCTTCTTCAAAGTACTTCCTCTCTTCATCAAGTGCTTCCTCTCTTCTTCAAGTACTTCCTCTCTTATCAAGATGCTTCCTCTCTTCATCAAAGTACTTCCTCTCTTCTCAAAGTGCTTCCTCTCTTCTCAAAGTACTTCCTCTCTTCATCAAGTGCTTCCTCTCTTCATCAAGTGCTTCCTCTCTTCATCAAGATGCTTCCTCTCTTCATCAAGATGCTTCCTCTCTTCTTCAAAGTACTTCCTCTCTTCATCAAGTGCTTCCTCTCTTCATCAAAGTGCTTCCTCTCTTCTTCAAAGTACTTCCTCTCTTCATCAAGATGCTTCCTCTCTTCTTCAAAGTACTTCCTCTCTTAAAGATGCTTCCTCTCTTCTTCAAAGTACTTCCTCTCTTCATCAAAGTGCTTCTCTTCTCAAAGCTTCCTCTCTTCATCAAGTGCTTCCTCTCTTCATCAAGATGCTTCCTCTCTTCATCAAGATGCTTCCTCTCTTCTTCAAAGTACTTCCTCTCTTCATCAAGATGCTTCCTCTCTTCATCAAGATGCTTCCTCTCTTCTTCAAAGCTTCCTCTCTTCATCAAGATGCTTCCTCTCTATCAAGATGCTTCCTCTCTTCATCAAGTGCTTCCTCTCTTCATCAAGATGCTTCCTCTCTTCATCAAGATGCTTCCTCTCTTCTTCAAAGTACTTCCTCTCTTCATCAAGATGCTTCCTCTCTTCATCAAGATGCTTCCTCTCTTCTTCAAAGTACTTCCTCTCTTCATCAAGATGCTTCCTCTCTTCATCAAGATGCTTCCTTCTTCATCAAGATGCTTCCTCTCTTCATCAAGATGCTTCCTCTCTTCTTCAAAGTACTTCCTCTCTTCATCAAGATGCTTCCTCTCTTCTTCAAAGTACTTCCTCTCTTCATCAAGATGCTTCCTCTCTTCATCAAGTGCTTCCTCTCTTCTTCAAAGTACTTCCTCTCTTCATCAAGATGCTTCCTCTCTTCTCAAAGTACTTCCTCTCTTCTTCAAGTACTTCCTCTCTTGATCAAGTGCTTCCTCTCTTCATCAAGATGCTTCCTCTCTTCATCAAAGTACTTCCTCTCTTCTCAAGATGCTTCCTCTCTTCTCAAAGTACTTCCTCTCTTCATCAAGATGCTTCCTCTCTTGATCAAGTGCTTCCTCTCTTCTTCAAAGTACTTCCTCTTCATCAAGATGCTTCCTCTCTTCATCAAAGTATTCCTCTCTTCTCAAAGTACTTCCTCTCTTCATCAAGGTGCTTCCTCTCTTCTTCAAAGTACTTCCTCTCTTCATCAAGATGCTTCCTCTCTTCATCAAGATGCTTCCTCTCTTCTTCAAAGTACTTCCTCTCTTCATCAAGATGCTTCCTCTCTTCTTCAAAGTACTTCCTCTCTTCATCAAATGCTTCCTCTCTTCATCAAGATGCTTCCTCTCTTATCAAGATGCTTCCTCTCTTCATCAAGATGCTTCCTCTCTTCTTCAAAGTACTTCCTCTCTTCATCAAGATGCTTCCTCTCTTCTCAAAGTACTTCCTCTCTTCATCAAGATGCTTCCTCTCTTCATCAAGATGCTTCCTCTCTTCTTCAAAGTACTTCCTCTCTTTCAAGATGCTTCCTCTCTTCTTCAAAGTACTTCCTCTCTTCATCAAGATGCTTCCTCTCTTATCAAGTGCTTCCTCTCTTCTTCAAAGTACTTCCTCTCTTCATCAAGATGCTTCCTCTCTTCTTCAAAGTACTTCCTCTCTTCATCAAGATGCTTCCTCTCTTCTTCAAAGTACTTCCTCTCTTCATCAAGATGCTTCCTCTCTTCATCAAGTGCTTCCTCTCTTCTTCAAAGTACTTCCTCTCTTCATCAATGCTTCCTCTCTTCTTCAAGTGCTTCCTCTCTTCTCAAAGTACTTCCTCTCTTCATCAAGTGCTTCCTCTTCTTCAAGTACTTCCTCTCTTATCAAGATGCTTCCTCTCTTCATCAAAGTACTTCCTCTCTTCTTCAAAGTACTTCCTCTCTTCATCAAAGTGCTTCCTCTCTTCTTCAAAGTACTTCCTCTCTTCTTCAAAGTACTTCCTCTCTTCATCAAGATGCTTCCTCTCTTCTTCAAAGTACTTCCTCTCTTCATCAAGATGCTTCCTCTCTTCTTCAAAGTACTTCCTCTCTTCATCAAATGCTTCCTCTCTTATCAAGTGCTTCCTCTCTTCATCAAGATGCTTCCTCTCTTCATCAAGATGCTTCCTCTCTTCTTCAAAGTACTTCCTCTCTTCATCAAGATGCTTCCTCTCTTCATCAAGTGCTTCCTCTCTTGATCAAGATGCTTCCTCTCTTCATCAAGATGCTTCCTCTCTTCAAAGTGCTTCCTCTCTTCTTCAAAGTACTTCCTCTCTTCATCAAGTGCTTCCTCTCTTCTTCAAAGTACTTCCTCTCTTGATCAAGATGCTTCCTCTCTTCATCAAAGTACTTCCTCTCTTCTTCAAAGTACTTCCTCTCTTCTTCAAAGTACTTCCTCTCTTCATCAAGATGCTTCCTCTCTTGATCAAGGTGCTTCCTCTCTTCTCAAAGTACTTCCTCTCTTGATCAAGATGCTTCCTCTCTTCTTCAAAGTACTTCCTCTCTTCATCAAGATGCTTCCTCTCTTCTTCAAAGTACTTCCTCTCTTGATCAAGATGCTTCCTCTCTTCATCAAGATGCTTCCTCTCTTCTCAAAGTACTTCCTCTCTTCATCAAGATGCTTCCTCTCTTCTTCAAAGTACTTCCTCTCTTCATCAAGATGCTTCCTCTCTTCATCAAAGTACTTCCTCTCTTCATCAAGATGCTTCCTCTCTTCATCAAAGTACTTCCTCTCTTCATCAAGATGCTTCCTCTCTTCATCAAGTGCTTCCTCTCTTCTTCAAAGTACTTCCTCTCTTGATCAAGATGCTTCCTCTCTTCTTCAAAGTACTTCCTCTCTTATCAAGATGCTTCCTCTCTTCTTCAAAGTACTTCCTCTCTTCATCAAGTGCTTCCTCTCTTCTTCAAAGTACTTCCTCTCTTCATCAAGTGCTTCCTCTCTTCATCAAGATGCTTCCTCTCTTCATCAAGATGCTTCCTCTCTTCTTCAAAGTACTTCCTCTCTTCATCAAGATGCTTCCTCTCTTCATCAAGTGCTTCCTCTCTTCTTCAAGTACTTCCTCTCTTCATCAAGATGCTTCCTCTCTTCTTCAAAGTACTTCCTCTCTTCATCAAAGTGCTTCCTCTCTTGATCAAATGCTTCCTCTCTTCATCAAGATGCTTCCTCTCTTCATCAAGATGCTTCCTCTCTTCTTCAAAGTACTTCCTCTCTTCATCAAGATGCTTCCTCTCTTCTCAAAGTACTTCCTCTCTTCATCAAGATGCTTCCTCTCTTCATCAAGTGCTTCCTCTCTTCTTCAAAGTACTTCCTCTCTTCATCAAGATGCTTCCTCTCTTCTTCAAAGTACTTCCTCTCTTCATCAAGTGCTTCCTCTCTTCAATGCTTCCTCTCTTGATCAAGGTGCTTCCTCTCTTCAACAAGTACTTCCTCTCTTCATCAAGATGCTTCCTCTCTTCAAAGTACTTCTTCTTCAAAGTACTTCCTCTCTGATCAAGTGCTTCCTCTCTTCTTCAAAGTACTTCCTCTCTTGATCAAGATGCTTCCTCTCTTCATCAAAGTACTTCCTCTCTTCTCAAAGCTTCCTCTCTTCTTCAAAGTACTTCCTCTCTTCATCAAGATGCTTCCTCTCTTGATCAAGGTGCTTCCTCTCTTCAACAAAGTACTTCCTCTCTTGATCAAGATGCTTCCTCTCTTCAACAAGTATTCTCTCTCTTCAAAGTACTTCCTCTCTTCATCAAGTGCTTCCTCTCTTCTTCAAAGTACTTCTCTCTCTTGATCAAATGCTTCCTCTCTTCTTCAAAGTACTTCCTCTCTTCATCAAGATGCTTCCTCTCTTCTTCAAAGTACTTCCTCTCTTCATCAAGATGCTTCCTCTCTGATCAAGTGCTTCCTCTCTTCTTCAAAGTACTTCCTCTCTTGATCAAGATGCTTCCTCTCTTCTTCAAAGTACTTCCTCTCTTGATCAAGGTGCTTCCTCTCTTCAACAAAGTACTTCCTCTCTTCATCAAGATGCTTCCTCTCTTCATCAAGGTGCTTCCTCTCTTCTTCAAAGTACTTCCTCCTTCTTCATCAAGATGCTTCCTCTCTTCTTTCAAAGTACTTCCTCTCTTCATCAAGTGCTTCCTCTCTTCAAAGTGTCCTCTCTTCTTCAAAGTACTTCCTCTCTTCATCAAGATGCTTCCTCTCTCTTCAATACTTCCTCTCTTCATCAAGTACTTCCTCTCTTCATCAAGTGCTTCCTCTCTTCTTCAAAGTACTTCCTCTCTTCATCAAGATGCTTCTCTCTCTTCTTCAAGAGTGCTTCCTCTCTTCTTCAAAGTACTTCCTCTCTTGATCAAGATGCTTCCTCTCTTCAAGTACTTCCTCTCTTCACAAATGCTTCCTCTCTTTCAAAGTACTTCCTCTCTTCAATCAAAGTGATTCCTCTCTTCTTCAAAGTACTTCCTCTCTTGATCAAGATGCTTCCTCTCTTCTTCAAAGTACTTCCTCTCTTCATCAAGTGCTTCCTCTCTTCATCAAGATGCTTCCTCTCTTCATCAAGTGCTTCCTCTCTTCTTCAAAGTACTTCCTCTCTTCATCAAGATGCTTCCTCTCTTCTTCAAAGTACTTCCTCTCTTCATCAAGATGCTTCCTCTCTTCATCAAGGTGCTTCCTCTCTTCTTCAAAGTACTTCCTCTCTTCATCAAGATGCTTCCTCTCTTCATCAAATGCTTCTCTCTCTTCAAAGTACTTCCTCTCTTGATCAAGATGCTTCCTCTCTTCTTCAAAGTACTTCCTCTCTTCATCAAGATGCTTCCTCTCTTCTTCAAAGTGATTCCTCTCTTCTTCAAAGTACTTCCTCTCTTGATCAAGATGCTTCCTCTCTTGATCAAGTGCTTCCTCTCTTCCAAAGTACTTCCTCTCTTGATCAAGATGCTTCCTCTCTTCAACAAAGTGATTACTCTCTTCTTCAAAGTACTTCCTCTCTTGATCAAGGTGCTTCCTCTCTTCTTCAAAGTACTTCCTCTCTTCATCAAGATGCTTCCTCTCTTCATCAAGATGCTTCCTCTCTTCATCAAGGTGCTTCCTCTCTTCTTCAAAGTACTTCCTCTCTTGATCAAGATGCTTCCTCTCTTCTTCAAAGTACTTCCTCTCTTCATCAAGGTGCTTCCTCTCTTCATCAAGATGCTTCCTCTCTTCATCAAGGTGCTTCCTCTCTTCTTCAAAGTACTTCCTCTCTTCATCAAGATGCTTCCTCTCTTCTTCAAAGTACTTCCTCTCTTCATCAAGATGCTTCGTCTCTTCTTCAAAGTACTTCCTCTCTTGATCAAGATGCTTCCTCTCTTGAGCAAAGTGCTTCCTCTCTTCATCAAGATGCTTCCTCTCTTCATCAAGATGCTTCCTCTCTTCTTCAAAGTACTTCCTCTCTTCATCAAGATGCTTCCTCTCTTCATCAAGGTGCTTCCTCTCTTCTTCAAAGTACTTCCTCTCTTCATCAAGATGCTTCCTCTCTTCTTCAAAGTACTTCCTCTCTTCATCAAGGTGCTTCCTCTCTTGATCAAGATGCTTCCTCTCTTGATCAAGGTGCTTCCTCTCTTCAACAAAGTACTTCCTCTCTTGATCAAGATGCTTCCTCTCTTCAACAAAGTGATTCCTCTCTTCTTCAAAGTACTTCCTCTCTTGATCAAGGTGCTTCCTCTCTTCTTCAAAGTACTTCCTTTCTTGATCAAGATGCTTCCTCTCTTCATCAAAGTACTTCCTCTCTTCTTCAAAGTGCTTCCTCTCTTCTTCAAAGTACTTCCTCTCTTCATCAAAGTACTTCCTCTCTTCATCAAGGTGCTTCCTCTCTTCATCAAGATGCTTCCTCTCTTCATCAAGGTGCTTCCTCTCTTCTTCAAAGTACTTCCTCTCTTCATCAAGATGCTTCCTCTCTTCATCAAAGTACTTCCTCTCTTCATCAAGATGCTTCCTCTCTTCTTCAAAGTACTTCCTCTCTTCATCAAGATGCTTCCTCTCTTCATCAAGGTGCTTCCTCTCTTCTTCAAAGTACTTCCTTTCTTGATCAAGATGCTTCCTCTCTTCTTCAAAGTACTTCCTCTCTTCTTCAAAGTACTTCCTCTCTTGATCAAGGTGCTTCCTCTCTTCATCAAGATGCTTCCTCTCTTCAACAAAGTACTTCCTCTCTTCATCAAGATGCTTCCTCTCTTCTTCAAAGTACTTCCTCTCTTCATCAAGATGCTTCCTCTCTTCATCAAGGTGCTTCCTCTCTTCTTCAAAGTACTTCCTCTCTTCATCAAGATGCTTCCTCTCTTCATCAAAGTACTTCCTCTCTTCATCAAGATGCTTCCTCTCTTCTTCAAAGTACTTCCTCTCTTCTTCAAAGTACTTCCTCTCTTGATCAAGATGCTTCCTCTCTTGATCAAGGTGCTTCCTCTCTTCAACAAAGTACTTCCTCTCTTGATCAAGATGCTTCCTCTCTTCAACAAAGTGATTACTCTCTTCTTCAAAGTACTTCCTCTCTTCATCAAGGTGCTTCCTCTCTTCATCAAGATGCTTCCTCTCTTCATCAAGATGCTTCCTCTCTTCTTCAAAGTACTTCCTCTCTTCATCAAGATGCTTCCTCTCTTCATCAAGATGCTTCCTCTCTTCTTCAAAGTACTTCCTCTCTTCATCAAGATGCTTCCTCTCTTCTTCAAAGTACTTCCTCTCTTCATCAAAGTGCTTCCTCTCTTGATCAAGATGCTTCCTATCTTGATCAAGATGCTTCCTCTCTTCATCAAGATGCTTCCTCTCTTCTTCAAAGTACTTCCTCTCTTCATCAAGATGCTTCCTCTCTTCTTCAAAGTACTTCCTCTCTTCATCAAGATGCTTCCTCTCTTCATCAAGGTGCTTCCTCTCTTCTTCAAAGTACTTCCTCTCTTCAACAAAGTGATTCCTCTCTTCTTCAAAGTACTTCCTCTCTTCATCAAGGTGCTTCCTCTCTTGATCAAGATGCTTCCTCTCTTGATCAAGGTGCTTCCTCTCTTCAACAAAGTACTTCCTCTCTTGATCAAGATGCTTCCTCTCTTCAACAAAGTGATTCCTCTCTTCTTCAAAGTACTTCCTCTCTTGATCAAGGTGCTTCCTCTCTTCTTCAAAGTACTTCCTTTCTTGATCAAGATGCTTCCTCTCTTCATCAAAGTACTTCCTCTCTTCTTCAAAGTGCTTCCTCTCTTCTTCAAAGTACTTCCTCTCTTCATCAAAGTACTTCCTCTCTTCATCAAGATGCTTCCTCTCTTCTTCAAAGTACTTCCTCTCTTCATCAAGATGCTTCCTCTCTTCTTCAAAGTACTTCCTCTCTTCTTCAAAGTACTTCCTCTCTTGATCAAGATGCTTCCTCTCTTCTTCAAAGTACTTCCTCTCTTGATCAAGATGCTTCCTCTCTTCTTCAAAGTACTTCCTCTCTTCAACAAAGTGATTCCTCTCTTGATCAAGATGCTTCCTCTCTTGATCAAGGTGCTTCCTCTCTTCAACAAAGTACTTCCTCTCTTGATCAAGATGCTTCCTCTCTTCAACAAAGTGATTCCTCTCTTCTTCAAAGTACTTCCTCTCTTGATCAAGATGCTTCCTCTCTTCTTCAAAGTACTTCCTCTCTTCATCAAGATGCTTCCTCTCTTCTTCAAAGTACTTCCTCTCTTCATCAAAGTGCTTCCTCTCTTGATCAAGATGCTTCCTATCTTGATCAAGATGCTTCCTCTCTTCATCAAGATGCTTCCTCTCTTCTTCAAAGTACTTCCTCTCTTCATCAAGATGCTTCCTCTCTTCTTCAAAGTACTTCCTCTCTTCATCAAGATGCTTCCTCTCTTCAACAAAGTGATTCCTCTCTTCTTCAAAGTACTTCCTCTCTTCATCAAGGTGCTTCCTTTCTTGATCAAGATGCTTCCTCTCTTCTTCAAAGTACTTCCTCTCTTGATCAAGATGCTTCCTCTCTTCTTCAAAGTACTTCCTCTCTTGATCAAGATGCTTCCTCTCTTGAGCAAGGTGCTTCCTCTCTTCATCAAGATGCTTCCTCTCTTCATCAAGATGCTTCCTCTCTTCTTCAAAGTACTTCCTCTCTTCATCAAGATGCTTCCTCTCTTCATCAAGATGCTTCCTCTCTTCAACAAAGTGATT